GTTTCATCTGGAAGGGCAGCAGGCATTCTAATGTTCCTTTTTGTTACTCAATGAAGGAGGTATCCCTCCCGCAGGAGTATTGTGGTCAGTCGGCTTTCGTCGTCCCTAAAACGGGTTCCCTTTGTTTAATCGGTATGTAATTTATATGTTGTCTGCAGACATGCGCGTGACGATGCACATATTTACCGTAGCTGTTTCGTGGTCAATGTAATATTTCAGAAGCACCCCTACATGTACATTTAAAAGGCATTTGGGACTGGCCGCAAAAATTACACCCTGTTTTGAATAACGGGGGGGGGGGACGTGTTTGTTTGTATGACATGGCCATGCAATCATTAGAAAATGTTGCAATGGATGTCAATGCATATCGTTAGATAATATGGACTGTTTCAGTATTGTACACATTATAACTGGCCATCAAACCAATCATAGCTAAGATAGTTACAAATACAAAATAGTGTACTAGAGTTTTTTTTTCAAAGTGGAACATACAGAAGTCATAGTCAAATGTTTGCCCGTGACATTTCTTCCCAGCCATTGTGTGTATGAAAGTGAAAGTGAAAGTTGTATAATGTGTACTGTATTCAATTTGATATAAAAGAACCTATGCTTATTTCAGGGTCGCCTGATGACATCATCGCTAATCTGAAGGACCTGTACCGTACCGAGTATGCGCAGGTGCGGCCTCTGCCCAGGTGCGAAGACCTCAACCTGCAACCTGGAGAAATCTACACCGACCTGCAGCTCCAGCCTAGGGACGGTAGGGGGCGCGTTTCAAGATACAGATATCATTACCTTAACTGCTATTTACAGTAGCGTACGAAAGATACGAGTAGAGGGGGATCCTGGCATTGGGAAGTCGTGCTCTTGCCAGAAGCTTGCTTATGATTGGTCCTGTGGGAAACTGGACAGGTTTAAGGTTGTGTTCTTCCTAGAAATGCGACACTTAGCTGGGAAGGTAAAGGATGAAATATTTGAGCAGCTCCTACCAAAGGATACAAACACGACCCCGGACCAGCTCTGGTCCTACATCCAACAGATCCAAGATGATGTTCTCTTCATCCTAGACGGTCTAGATGAGCTCAGTCAGGCAGCTAGGCAAGTCACAGATGTGATGGACTTGATTCAGGGTAAAATCCTCCGGAACTGTCATGTCCTGGTGACCTCCAGGCCGTACCACTGTGTGAAAGACCTGGAGAAATGTCACCAGTTCAACAGCATAGTAGGCTATAGTGAGGAAAACTCAGAGGATTTCATACGCAAATACTTTTGCAAATCCCCAGAGTCTGCCTTACAACTAGTAAAACAGATCCACAGTAACAGAAATCTGTCAGAACTAGTAGTGAATCCCCTCAACAACTTGCTCATATGTGTTGTCTGGGAAGATAACAATGAACAACTACCCTCTAACAAAGCCGAACTGTATGACATGATTGTACGTTCAGTCGCTAAACGATTCTGTGCAAAGAAAGCCCTTCCAACGGAAGGTGACAAACTTCCTCCTGACATAGAAGCAGCCTTGCGAGGTCTGGGAAAACTGTCCTGGGAGGGGCTAGAGCAGGAGCAGCTCCAGTTTAACATAGCTGAGATCACAGAGAAATATGGCACAAACGCCGATAACATGTTGACCTTGGGCCTCCTGACTAGAGATTACTCTTTCTCCAGAATCAAACGCACCTGCTTCTGTGCCTTCCTGCACAAAAACGTTTCAGGAGTACATGGCCTCCCACTATATCAGTGGCCTGTTCACAGGTGGGTAGTAGAGAAGAGGGGGATGAAATGTCTTCGTAGGTTGTTTGGTTTGACAACTACTGGTGTCGACAGGGAACTGATTTTATGTAGTCGCCGCAAATACATGGAGGTCCAAGACTGGTTACTTTTGATCCTAGGCGAGAATGCAAACCCACTGTTTGACATGTTTGCAGAGGAACTTAACAAAGTTGAAAATGATGAGGACAGGGATGTTTTGTCGTTTGTATGTCTCACGTGGCTTGGGAGAACGGAATGTGCAGGTGTTAAAATGGCAGAGATTGTGGCACCTTGTCTGTCTCAGCACGCAACTAACAACCTGGGTGATTTTAGTAAGGACTATGGTCGCCATATGGATTGGTTTGTAGGTTTGACACACGTACTGACCTGTCAAAAGAAACAAACTGTAAGTGACAATCTAAGATTGACCCAGCATCTGACATTCAATTGCAGTTATATCAATGACGATGCAGGGTCTTCAGATCGGGAGAAACTTGACGTCTTGGTAGACACATTATCAGATTACTGCGCATTGCATTCTGTTACATTCCATGAGACTGATGTTCCTGGTGTTAGACTTAGAGCTGTTGACCACTCTTTCTCCCCACTGCGCGCATTCGTACCTCGGTGTGGAACAGGAAGTGTATTCATTCATATCAACCCTTTTCTTAATCCTCCAAATACATTATATCTGTCACTGTTAAGCTCACTTCAACAGCTTTCCATGGCATCAAGGATAGAACATATCAGAATCACGGTAGGAAGACTTGTCATGGGAGCTCGAGGCAACTTTGGGGATACGCCTGATGCAGATTTCTCAGAATATGACAGGCTGTTGGCCCAAATGATTGTAAGGCAGAATTGTCTCCGCTCGTTAAGGCTGGAGATAGGCGAGTGGTATCGTTATGATCCTGAAGTCAGGGGGTTTGGTAATCTAACAGAGACCCTACAGAGCATTTCCCAACATGCAACACTTGAGGAGGTTGAGTTCGAGCTGCCAGGGAATGATGTGTCTATGACAAAGAATGTTGGATTTGCAGTCAAAGAAATTCCTGAAACATTTGAGGTTGAGCCGATGGTACACGAACTCACAGAATGTATCAAGAAAAACAAGGTGCTAAAGGCACTAAGACTTAGGTGGAAGCAATGGGATCCTGAAAATATGACAAATATCACAAAAAAAGTCTACCACGGGACGTGTAGTAGCGAGTCCCTCTCCAGCCTGTGTTCTGCAATCCAGGAAAACCAAACTCTGGAGACGCTGGTAGTTGAGGGAATGATCTGTAATGGGTTATGTAGGGGGTTCGAGATGTTCTTGGAGTCATTGGGTTATCAGGAGATTATTGACGAGCTGATGCGTAACAAACCCAGCAACTATAAGGATATCAGAATCATAATGTTTGACTGTGTATCTCAGGTTGCAATTGATTCCTCTGTCGACATTAATTTTTGCTAAAATGTACCAATGTTGTCAGTTATGTGGCCAAGAAAGTTATGTTTTTGGTAGCGTTTGTTTCTGTCCTTGTGGTTTAGCACAATGATCCTAGGAAGTTATGGATGTATTGTCATGAAATGGAAATCAGAAGCTCATTTGCATAATAGATTAGAAAATCCTACAATAGCTATTGTTAAAGAATAGAATTGCAAACGTTTGGGCAACGTGCTATTTGGTTAGAGCGGATCATAAGGACCTTATTGTGCATCATAAATGAGAAACAATTATAATATGTCAGTCATAAAGGTTAAACTTCATTTGGTGAAGGTAGCGAGGAGATTGTGGAACGTGTTTACAGCTGACAAGAGCACGACAATACCCATCTTTCACAAAACTTTCTGCAGATGTCATATTAGCTATATATCTTATTTACTTGTCCCTGCCTCTACACTGTAATGTAATAGACTAAAACCATATTTTATATAGGTTTCAATATGTTTTACACCAATGAATACCCCATACCCTTATAAGTGAAAATAACTACACTCAAATTTAAATGCACAACATTTCGGTACTATGTAGATTTTACAATACATGTACATAATGAGACCATGTAGTGCGGCACTGACTCAGTTGTACATACAAATAGACATATCCAAGACTTCTTTCCACTTTACTTGATAATGCAAAACAATATGTATTTAGCCTTTAGCCTATTCAACCTTTGTTTGTGCTGACAAGCAACAAGCATTTTTTAAAAGTCAAACAAAACAGATGTCAGTCTGTGATATGTTTCCCAACAAGGACGTATCAAGTGTGCGTCATTATTAACTATAAGTAGTTCAGAATTGTGCCAAGTATATCTGAACAACTGTAGACTAATGTTTTATTGTGATATACATAAGAAATTGTGAATGCATAAGATGCATAACTCTATGTAACTCCAACAGTTGTGTATGCTTGCAGCAGAACATTAAACAATGAATATAACACATGTTGTTGTCCATATGTTT